CCGTATGTGCCTTCGAGAGAAATTTGCCGCGTTGAGAAGAAATTTTTCCCAGTTGTTGACGTTTCGCGGCTTTTCCCGTTCACTGGTGCTATACCCCCTCCCCACCTCCCTCCCACTAGGCGGAAAATTTTTGGGTGAAAAATCTGGGAAATATGGGAAACTTCGGAAAAACTGCTAGGAAGCTGGAAACTTGTCGGAAAAAAAGTAGGTAAGTGTTGGAGAAGGGGGGGAGTCGTGCCGAGACCCTCTTTCTAGGTGAGGGGGGGGGTCGTGCTGACACCACCACCTTGCACGTCGCGATGCTGTACCCAGTCCCTACAGCCCCGTTCCCGTGCACTTTTGAGTGGGGATTAGCACGCCACTGCGGCTGCGGATTCACTCGCCTCGCACATGGGAGGTATCGTCCTCGGAAGGGAGTGTACAGTTTGCCTTTCAGGGATAGGCACCGTAGTACCTTGGTAGTACACTGGATAAGCGCGATGTCCAGAAAGCAAACATGCATGAACTCAAGTTCCGCCCGATTTGGTTTTTGGTTTGGTAACTGGACCAAGTTAATAACTGAAAGCAGACCAGAGCAAATTGTATCTGGAAAAGCAATCCATTGTAATTTCATAAAAAAATGTTGAGCAGATATAATTTTCAGCCGGACTTATTTGAATTGAATCGTGGCGATGACGGAGTATGGAAGTTCGTATAGCATCTGCAAGCTCTGGACTGACGATGAGTGTATATGAACAAGGAGTTATAAAAGCTGAGGTACGGTCTGGACCTACTTCTGGAAGATCGATAGGTTATTTCTTAAACTTCAATCCCTCAGTCTTGTGCGTAATCACTAATTCTCCGGGAGATGAGACCTTGAGATACAGGGAAGTTTGAGAATAATAGAACCCACATTCCTACGCGAAAATGAGCCTCCGAACAACAGTCTGGTTTATGTCTTGCGCCGAGTTTATAGTTAGCGCTGATGTGTGGAAACGGAGAATCAGGGAAACGGGAAATGCTTCAGATATATAGGTACTGATTAGGGACTATGGTCTAGGTCAGCTGGAGAATCGCTCCTGTCGATGACGATTCAGTCGTTTATACCTAATCTGTGGATTTCCCGATTCTGCGATTCTTCAGCTGGACTGGCGGAGCCCAAACAATCAACATGTATCTTATCTCTTTCGCGAGTTCTTCAATCCTAGTTCCTTTTGATACTCCAGTTCACGTTTATTACTCGAAGGGGAAGAGGAAGAGAGTACCCGGCCACGCTCCCGCATCCCATCCCCAAGAAGGCTTGAGTAGCGTTCAGACTTCGCGGTGACGCGAGCGCGGCGCCTATCTACTCGCGTCTGCGACTGCAGCCGCGGACGGAAATAGATGGGCGTCGGCCGGTATTTCGAGAGAGTATGGGGGAATAAGATGGAGTCTAATCACGCAGACTGGTCTCGATCGGCACTGGTGGTCTGCGCTGCATTCGCGTGTATAGCTTCGGAGCGATGTTACAATTGTAGCGCGTCGACGCGCGTCATCGCGAAGTCTGAACGCTGTCTCAGGTTCTGAGTGTAGACGACCAGGATGGCGTAGTACTGTCAACTGTAAGCCTGAGCGCTGATCACAGGAAGGCATACGGAGGCGCTGAAGGGCAGTCTCCCCCTCCCTCCCCCATAACGCTTTACCACGGTTGAAGCAATCAGTGCACATGATCTCTTTGTAGAACACAGCTTGGACGTTCTACATTTTCTCATTCATTTTCCTTGGTGCTTTACTCACCCCATTTCAATCTCTTTCTATTTTTGCCAATCATTCCTTGCAAATGACCTCATTTAAGGTTCGTGGACTCACCTCGTATGCTCCAGAAGGAGCAGACATTGGTGATATGGTGGTGAGCGTAGACGGTAAACTCATTTCAAAGGTCAGACAATTTCATTCAGCAAATCGATTTCATATCAATCGATTGATTTTGTTCTCTATGGACTGAGAGCTCTAATTCCCGTCGAGTTCAGGTTGGTTCGGCAGCCGACGTTGAACGAATGCTCACTGAAGGCCGAGTTATTCGTCTTCGGAAAGGTCGAATTACCACAAAGAGCAGTTCCGAGGCGGCAAAGGTTCTCTTAAATAAAGTCGTCTATCGATTATTTTTATTGACTCTCTTTATCAATCTATGGCAAGAGAAACAAACTCAACTAGC